GAAGAGGTGGTGGTGGAAGAAGAGGGGGTGGGTGGGGGGGAGTTCAAAAGTCTTGCAACCGAAGAGAAAAGAGAGTCAGAGTGAGGAAGGGGGAGAGAAACCTGGCACCAAGACACTTCAGAGCCATGGGCATTAGAGACGGTGAACAAGGGAAGGTCAACCCACCCCCTTCTTCTTCTTCCTCCTACTGCATCAGCAGATGTACAACATAAGCCCATCATCAATACTGCCAGACCACAGCTACAGTGATAACAGGAAGGTCTGTGATGAAGCATTTACATACTGGATTATGGGGTGAGGGGGTTTTTTTTACGTCAAGGGGCAGTGAAAGATGAGATAATTTCACATCTAAGATCAGCTACTGACAGAGAGGCTTACGGGCATCAGTGACCGACCACGTCCCTGAGCTGATGCTAACAAGGTCATCCTCTGGTCTGAAAGCAGCTTTGTCTCTCTAATCAGAGGAGCATCATCATCATATTCCACGTTGTATCAGCAGCTTCTGACAGTGACGCAATCTGCCAGGGGAGGCAAACAGAGACCCTGCTCGGTGTACATCTCGCCTCCGAGCAGCCATCCTGAGAGGGAGATAAGTCAGGTCACAGATTAACGTCATTGACCTGCATGTGCAAGTTTGATAAAGATTTTGAATGCATATGTTATTTAAAACACAGACGGTCTGCAAACGTGCATTTTGTGTAAATGTGATGGTGTAAAGCAGGGCTGCAACTGCTATTATTTTCATTATCGATCAATCTGACGATTATTTTCTAGATTAATGATCGATAAAATGTTAAGAAATAGTAAAAAAACATAAAATATTCATTATTATTTCATTTATTTTCCCATAGTGCAAAATACTGTCTTCCATTCCCGGAAGACATTATTTTGTCCGACCAGCAGTCCAAAAAAATCATCGAATCATAACATGACAAAGAAAACGCTTCAGAAACTATTGACCAATTACTTAACAGTTCCCAATCAATTGTCTTGTGCTTGACAAATTGCTTTACTGGCTAATAAACTCAAGTGTAAAGTAGAACGGCCAAATTCAATCCACAGTTTAAAAACCATTCCATTCACTGTCACAAAAGACTAAGTCACCTTTGAGAGGATGGTGCTAATCAATTTTTGGGTATTTTTGGTGAAAGAACTGTTGCAGAAATCAAACCTAATTTTGCATACTATTTATGGTCATCGTGATTCTGCAATAGCCATTCAATGTGGTTACATTCAGTATTTATCTCTTTATATGGTAGTTTTAGTCGTAGTGGTGGGGTCCGCCATTCCTGCACTAGATGCAGATTACAAGGAAAACGAGGCACACGTGTACATCCACATCCAGGTAACAAACTGCGGTTGTGTAGAAAACAACATGCTCCGTGTGTAGCATGAAATCAGATTGCTGTAGTAATTATTACTGATGAACATCTTTATTTGTTTGGCTGCACTGTAAACACCAGCTATACCTCTGACAAAGTCGTTGATCAGTGAGTGTTTGCTGTAGTATTAATCCACACTTGCTGTTACCACGGTAACCACCGGTGTCACCTAAGGATTACAACTTTTCTGTTGTTCAACTAATTGCTCCTTTAGCTCAGTGGTTCTCGAAGATTTTGGCTAATGACTCTTCAACTGCCCACCTGCGACTCTTCGTCAGGCTGCATATGACTTTGTGAGACGTCCCTTAATAGGACATTTAAAAATAAACTAATTGTGTTTGGCAGACATAAATAAAATACATTTGTATTGTGCTCAAGTTTTTCAACATTTTTGGCTTCTGCCTGTGTAAAACGCTGCAATGTCTACTTAAAAAGCTTCGTTAGTCATAGGTTTCATACGACTGTGAGCTGTGAGAAGTTCACACAGAGCATATTTCCCTTCTTAAATCATTTCATTTGAATCATTATTACGAAACAATCCAGTATGTTACAACAAAGAAGTTTGACAAAAATCAGAAAAATAAACGTTTAACTTTTACATACACATTTACATTTTTACATTTACCCTGCGACGTACCCTCATGCTATATATAGTTGTCTCTATAGCTGATTCAGTGTCTGTGTCATGTGGGGACATTTGATCGTGCTAATATTTTGACCCACTTTACCCCACAACAACCCTAACTGTTGCGTGTCTTTAGCCGCCTCGGTCCCCTTTGGGTCCGACCTTGCTGGTGATGCACTTGCACACACTGGCCGAGCATGCTGGGATACATGCTGGTGTCCTGTTTTGTGATTGGGTCGCAGCACTGATCTCTTGTTTAGTGATTGGATCAGTGTTGATATCCCGTCCCTGCTGAAAACCACCCTGTTTAAGCCCTTGTCTTGTGTGAAGCTGTGGTCTGTCATTGCTGGGTTATTTTTTCTGTGACATGGTGGGAACACTGGGGCCCTTGCTTTAACATAATGAGGGTGGCTCTGCACAAGTGTCTGTAGTAAAGCATCCGGCTCTGTAGTTTGCTCCAAGGAGGTGGCTGATCAAATGAAATAACTGGGTTTTTTTTTGTTTTTCCAACTTTGTTTCTCCTCAGTCGCTAATGAAATGTGTGTGTGTGCATGTACTGACTGACAATTTCAATACAGAAACCAGAGCAATGATTTATTTCTGACAAGACATTACAGTGAAAAAGTGCAGAAAAGCAGCAAATCCTGCACAGAAGCACACAGTTTAGAGGGAACAGGACTTCAAATGAGGCTTTCTGGTGATCTCTGGCTGATATTTGCTCTGTATTGCAATAAAAATGTCACATTTTTCCATATTCCCTCTAGTTCACATGTATTTTGCTTTTTCATTCTGTTTTTATTATGTGTTCAAGTTAGTGGCACACTGGTGACTGAGTGGAAATGTGTTTTTTTTAATGATTTATTTTAGCGTTAACCAAATCAGACCTCGGATAGAAGGGCTAGGGAGTTACGCGGTGCCAAATTACGCACAACAACCAACAGTCGTATCATATGCAGCTTGTCTTTAACTTCTCCTTCATGAGCTTTCAGGGCATATAATAGTATGTTGTGTGAGTGTGAGCTGCTGCTGGTGGGGCAGCAGCGCTTTTTTCTATCTTGATCTGAACTACTAACCAAGTCTTAGAGAGATCAAAATTCAATCCCGTTCTGAGAAAAAAAGAGAAATGACGTTATTTGAATATGTGCCCAAAATCCTTAATGAATAACTTAGGACGAGTAGGAGGCAAATGCTGCCCCAGCTGTTTCCTGTTGAAAATGTCTGTGTAATGTAGATAAATGTGAGGGATTTTCTCTCTAAATCCGTCTCCTGTTCGCTAAATCTCACTTCTCCAAAACGAGCCTGCGCAATGGAACAAAGTCGGAATATTGAGATGTGACATTGCCCGCATCTCATCCTCTTTCTCCCCGTTTTTAATGACTTCAAACAAGTTCATTTTCGCCGGGCTTTGTCTTGCGGAGACCCGTGGGGATGTCTAGCGCTCTTTCCTTTCAGTGGCATTTATGTGATGTCTTCAAGGTAACTTACCTGATTTCCTTTGACACTATAGATTATCACCTTCACTTGCTTTGCACAGAGCATCCTTACCTAGTTTAAATTGAAAAAATAAAAGACATTTTGCATCGCTTATTTATATTTTGCTGCTTTTAAATGCATGATAAATGTGGATTTATTCTGATTTTAATCCTTTTTTATTCAGTTAGTGAGCAACTGTCCTGCATCTTGCTGATGTTTTTTTTCTCAACAGATAACAAGAGATTGTCCCTCTTCTGCTTTAACTGACTTTTGTTTTCTTTTGACATGAATCGTGCATGAGTTTCACTGATCGGATGAATGGGTTTTCATCCTCAGCGCTTCTGTGCGCCCTGCGCTCTTTTTCACCAGAAAGTCCTAATGCAGCTCTGCAACTTTCAAAGTAATTACTGCTGAGTCTGCATTATTAAGTGCTAAATATCTAACCTGGGGCTGCGGGGTTAAGAGAGATGGGAGCTTAACATGAAATACGTATGGGCGTCGGGACCGTGCGGTTGGGATTGTGATGTAGATGGATAGTGTCCTGTGTTTATTCTTTTTATTATGTATATTTGGCCCACTCAGCTTCCTCGGCTGGGTTTGGCGGGAGAGCCGTTTTCCATCTCACAGTTTGGATCGGAAAGATCCCTGGCGCTTTTTGCATCTCTTATTCTGCTTTTGTGAATTTTGAAGCACTTTTAGTTCAGTAGTGTGCGTAATAATGCGCGGAGCTGTGTTTTTGGTACAGGGGGAATGCTGACACCTCATGACCAAGTGGTTATTAATGATAGATTTTTTTGAAATGTCATTTGTTAATATGGGTTGTTATTAACTTAACTAACAGGGGCTAGGTAGCTTGATGATAAGGAGAAACGTGTGTTTTCAATTTGGACGCGCTCTGCTCCGTTGCGCACAGGCGCTCCGGAGCATCAGAGCTGGTCAGCCTCCTGTTTGACTGTTTGACTGTTTGACTCTGGCACCAAGTGGACGTTTGGATTTAATACATTTTCCTCCACATCTCCAAATCCCTGTAAAGCTACCATCTGTGGCCACGGCCACTTTCTCTTTCTTTTGTATTTCCTTATTTTTAGCAGAGTGAAAGCCTGGAAGTTAGGGAAAACAAGCCTTCAGCTCACTAGTTTCAATCTTATGTGGGAAAATGGTTAGGGTTGCCACCACTGACGTGCCACTGAGCAAGGCACTGAGCCACCAACTGTCACAACACTGCTGCTTAACGGCCAACAGTGTAATATGAGACTTTAAAAGTGACTTTCCTTGCTTAAATTAATGCTTAAATAAAACCCTTTCTCTGATGATGCTCTGTCTTTAAACAGCAGTGAAAATGTTAAATCTCTCTCTCTCTCTCTCTCTCTCTCTCTCTCTGCAGAGTGCGATGTGCTGTATCTCCTGTAGCCACACCCTCTCACTACTGCTGTGCGTCCTCACCCTGACTCCGACGGCAACAGGGGCGGGACCAGAGACCCTGTGCGGGGCGGAGCTGGTCGACACGCTGCAGTTTGTGTGTGGAGAGAGAGGCTTTTATTTCAGTAAGTGCACCTTTTTATTTATTCATAAAGGTTGGCTGTATCTGTCCCAGAGCTCTCCACCTCCAGCGAGCTCATAAATAAAAAAGCAGCCAGTTTGACATCTTGTCTTGACTTTCACTGCATTAATGTTCCCTTTCCTACTTCATTCATGCCTCTCTCACTGTTACATCTTCTCTTTAAGTTCACATTCATGCCTGCACATGTGTTTGAATGCTCCCGGTGATGGACAGGAGCCCAGATTTTGAACAAGCAAATTTAATATGGAATAATGATATGTAACTGAATTGTTGGTGGCAGATCGCAGTCCTGCCCATGGGCATAGGGCTTTAAGTGGAATTTGGCTGACTATCTCTAAGGAAGAGGAGTGGTAGAAACTAAATGTTGCAGTGAAGTTTTTTCTTTTTTCCACCAGAGAAGGGAAAGCGACCCAAAGAAAACCCTCCACCAAGAATCCAGGATTTAAATCTCCAATTTTTCCATTATGGGTACAACCCAGCCCAGAACAGCACAGGATATATGGAGCTACCGAGGTTAGGTGCAATGTTCCACCGGCAACCAATGTTACTCAGGACATGTATCCTGATCTTTCTGTCAGAGACAAACAGTGTGACTGCACATTAACAGTATAACTGGCTTAAACACCACAGAGCTGAGCTTTATAACCTCATTATTCATATGTCTTTGGATGACTTCCATCAATTAAGCCAATTTTCACTGAATGTCCTGGAGGAGCTTCGTATCTCCCCAGAAGTCTTTTTAAATTTTTTTTATAATAATTGATTGTCCCTCTTATTCCTGTGCAGTTTTGACATAACAATCCATTATTAATGGTTTGGTTCGGCCCCAAAGTTATGAAACATTTTCCACATGAGGTAGACTTTGTCAGCTGCCAATTTCAAAAAGAAAAGAAGATATAAGATTTCTGTGGGAAATCAGCAGCATCTATAGTGCATTTGCAGTGGTTCTATTTTCTTGTAATTGATTGCTTTCACCTCAACCTGAACCTCAAGTGGTAGATACACCTTCTTGAGAACTTGGTGACTGATGGAAGATTAGGGGCCAAGAGGGGGCCAGTCTTTGAATCCCAACCTCAGTGCAGCAGGGGAATAATAGTGGCCGGTGTATAGTAACCCAATTCTGACCCATAAAACATGTACATAAGTCCATTTTATTGGTAAGATAATGAGAAATTAGTCTACAGCCATGCAAGCAGCTCTATGAGACTGTATTGTATTGTACAGAGTGTTGATTTGAACTAAATGCTAAACGCTAACATGCTGATGTTCAGAAGGTAATGTTCGCCAAAGAGTTTGAACATTTGAGCTTATGGGTTATTAAAATTAATCCTGAGGGGCAAATTTAATTGAGATCCATACATTAGTTATCAAGACATTTTACAGAAAACATACCACCATGTTTTCAGAGAAAAATTCCTAGGTTTCATCTTCTGGGGAACATGAATGTACAAAATTAGATGGTAATCCATTCAATATTTCAGTTTGGACCAAAGACTGACCAACCAACTTTGTCATCCCTGATATATAATATAATAATGATGAAAATACTGCTGGCTTAGTTATCTTAGCTCACATTTTGTAGGTTTTTCACTCCATGAGAACCTTTTCTAACAGCAAATATGTGCTGGTGTTTGAAGCAACAATTATAAATTGAACTTTTAACTGCCCTCCCATATATCAACACTTGTTACTCCTGAAAAGTGATGAATTTGCACGAGCTGAAGCTTCAACCAAATCAATGACCCGTTGTGCTAGGTAGAACTTTTTGCAATAGCATCTTTTTAAGAGAGAGCTAAATATGTGCACCGACTTTGTGCACTTAAAGCATGTGTGCTATGATAGCGATGGCTCTGACCATCCAACACTATTGCCAGACAAGAACGTTGACACGGGACAATTCTACAATTAATTAATTCTTGCTTTCAGAAATATCTGTGTGGTTCAAGGTAAGAAAAGACTGTGGCTGTGTTCCTATGGATACTGTGTTGGAATGACAGACCTCTCCGTCCATTGCTTTTGTGCTCCCATATTGTCCATGCACAGCTTAGTAGGGCTAAGAAATCGGTTCAAATTGGATGATTTGTGGCACACGAGAAAATGGTTCCTGTAGCCTGTGTAGCTAGACAAACAGTAAAGATGTGAATGGGTTCCTGTCCAGTCACACTCTAATACTTAGTCTAACCCTTAACCCTAGCCCTAAAACCTACCCCTAACCATGCATTTAATCAAGCGCTTCAGATACCTAACCTAAACCATACACTTACATTTCTGTTGTTGCCATGTATGGACATTGTAGAAATACTTTTAAAAACTGTGGCACAGATCAAAACGTCATTCAACGTAATCTGAGGTTTTTTGCAGAATCATCCAACATCAATGTTCTGTCTGGCAATAGTGTCACAATGCACCTTGCTGCTGCTCCCCACCATCCCGCTGCCACATTCCTCCACCCCTGCATGCAGCTTTTCCAGGACCAGTCAACATCATTCTCTGCATCGGGCCCTTTGTACGGTGCTTGCCAGAGAGTTGTTGGAGAGCCACCAAGCTGCTGCAAAGCTGCGAGTCTTGTTCGTCCAGATGCCGCTGGCAACACCGACATGCTGTGAAGTGGTCATGACAGCCTGCTCGATTGCCAGTTTTCTGCCAGTTAAGACTTTTTGGTCTTTGGATTCCCTCTGCTGCAGGACTTTTCTTGTGTAAATGATCATGTTGTCTTCATTTAGGCCGAGAGACAGTGGAAGATCATGGACTACATGATCAAAGACGCTTTTCAGTAAATCATGCATCATATTTAGCATCTACAGTATGTGATGCAAGGACCAAATCTTCAGCACCAACAAGACTTGGGCATTCTCTTAGATTGTGATTGCAATTTTCGTCTTCAAAATTAAGCTCACTGATTATTTATATTTCAGTATGAAGGTTTGTCAAATAGTCCCAAGAAGTGTCTGCAGCCGTAGCTTGAAGTTGATGAGATGTTAAAGATTTTAACAGGGGTATGAGGGTGTCCAGGGATTGGATGATGTGAGAATGTGACAAAGTGTTGGCTACTGATAGTTTTACTACAGGTTTGTAAATGTTTCTCACAGGCTATAGAAGCATAGCACTACTGTCCATATTCATCTCATGAGAAAATGTTGAATAGAGGCCAATGTAACTCATGAATCCTCATGCAAGATACACTTAAGCAGGAACAGACCTTTTTGTGGTATAGGGAATGTATTTGTCTTTCCCGCATTACCTTACACTATGCAGTCACTGAACTGCACAGCGTCCATCTATCAATGCCACATTTTCCTGTGTTAAAAAAGAGGTGTATTTCACAAACACTCCATCCTTTTTCTGAAAAGACGATGATGTTTGAGCAGCAGGGTGCTGAGCCTTGGAAAATATGCTGCTCCCTGTCTTCCTCTGTTTCTCTCGCTCTCTCATATTCTCACTGTCATTCCTTTTCCTTCTCCCCTCTTTCGATCGCCACATGTACCAGTGGCTGTTTGAGTAAAATATCTGGAGAATCCATTTGGGTTCTGTCGTCTATAGGACCCGGCAGCGTAACAGCTTGGCCAAAGGAGGCGTGCTCCTTTCCCTGAACTCTTCCCCTCCAGTCTGGCCGTGTTGAACTTGGCAGCCCTCTGATTGATAATGTGTCCAGAGACAGTGTTGCAATGACAGTGGGCTTTCTGTGCTAAGAGTGCTTTTGCCAATCCACCTTACGCATGTCACTAGTAAAGTGCACACTTGCATTTTAAGACTACAGATTTCCTACCCTGACAGAAATGCTAAATACTAGTTGGTGGAAATTCTTTTTTTTAGGTAATGAAACAAACTGCGGTCTGTGAAACAGAAAAAAAATCCATAACTGTAGTCAGTTTTTCCAATTATTAGCCTGACCTAGAAATCCTCAGTTGTCTTTGTAATGCTTTAGCAGGCAGGACCGTGGGGTGATTTCACTGCGATGTTCATTCCATGAATCAGATCTGTTATGGGAGTTTTTTGGCTAAAGTGTGAGTGCTAAGTGGTTCCCTGTCCTAAGTCACTTCATATTTTATCAGCTCATGTTAAAATATTCACACTTATTCTAGAGTGAGTGTGAGATATATAATGTTAATGCTGCTTTCTGCTAAATGAATGATGCGCAAACTCTCTTGAATTACGACAAGATGGAATAATCCATCACTTTTAGCCAAGAGCTAATTGTAAGTACACGCAGTTCTAATAAAAAAGAGCAGCCAAATATAAAAACGTGGTAAATTTTTTTTAGGTGTTCTGGCTTGTACTAATGGCATGTGAATTGAAGGGGGGAAAGAAGGGGAAATTGCTTTTAGCAGCGATTGATGAGACTTCCTCTTCGGTGTTTGTCCCTGTCAATTTTATTCAAAGCTACTGGAGCTGGAGAAAGAGGTAGAATGTGCATACAGCACATCACATGCATGCACGCACATATGCACACACTCAAACACACACATAGCTAGGCCTTGTCCCTCAGCAGCAAGGGATTATGAGGATTACAGGATGATCAGGACACCCCCCCTCCCGTCCCTCCCTAGTTTTACACTGGACCTGAACACACAGCGGAAGGCACTGAGATCTGAAGAAAGACCTCCTGTGTGTTCTCCATCACTGCGAAAAGGTGTCGTTTTCCCATTAAGACCTGAACTACAAATCTCTGACCCTTCTGTGAATAACTGCTCAGCGGAACAAAGAGGCATCTCATGAAAAGGACAGGCAGGCGTCCTCCAGATTTAGATCTGTACATTAGTAAAAGTGGAGACGAGGGATTTGAGGACACTCTGGGACTAAAGAGTACTTTACCTTTGAAACCCTTCATCAGTTTAATCCAATCACATAATGTAGGTCCTCTACAAAGAAAAACGAGGATATATCTGGTTGCATTAGCGCAGATCACCAAGATTCATAATTGAAATCCTGGACCTGCTTCACCCTAGGTAGTCTACAAACCAAAGAATCCTGCAGAGTTGATCA